CGTACGCTCACGGGTATCCTCGACGTTGTGGCGCTAACAAACCCGCAACTGGCGGAAGTGTTGCGTCAGAGACGGGAAAGCGGAGCCCTTCCATCCCAAGAGCCTCCACCATCTCAGTCACAGCCGGCATCCAACGACCCTGGAGACGACTTCGTGAACCAATTTGATCAAGACCAGCATCATTTTTAGTTTTTTTTTTTAGTTTTTAATTGTATATTATGAATTTTAAAACTTATTAATTGTATATTATTTAGTTATTTATAAATATTTTTTTATTTATTTTTTTAATTTTTTTTAATATATATAATTTTAATTTATAAATATTTTTTTTAATAGGAAAAAATAGTTTCGAAGTAAAATCCTCGTAAACTCTTCGAAGTAAATTCGTCGTAAAGGTTCCTACCAAGTTCCTCGTAAATGGTATACTACGCGTTTACGAGTATACCATTTACGAGGAAACTGTTTACTATGCTCTTACGAGGAAAGTATACGTGGCGCTTACGAGGAAAACTTTTCCACGGCTTTACGAGGAAACTTTTCCTCTTAAAGTAGCTAGGTTTTTACGAGGAAAATAGCCTTTACGATGAACGTCTTTCGACGAAACACGTTTCCTCGCTATTTCCTAGTAAAGGGCCATTTACTAGGAAATAACGAGGAAAACCCGTCCTAGTAAATGACGTGTTTTCTTGTAGTGTTTCTCCAATTTTTTTTCATAATTCGCCTTCTCCAAAAAATGAAACCTAGAAATTGCATAGTCTGAGGTTTGAACCTAGACCTGGATGTAGAATCCTTAATCCATTGACCACTAGGCCACAGTGCTTCCACGTGTAATGATATTTAAAAAATATAAATCCGTTTCTGTAAGGTATATTTTATTGATAACATGAAAAAAAAAAATTAGAAAAAGAGACACTTTGAACTATGATTTGGGAAAATAAAATTTTTAGAATATTTTTTAGTTAATTAGGATTATATTTTTTAAATACTATTATACCCTTTAATTTACATAATTAAAATTAAATTTCGTAATATATAAAAATATAGAAAAAGTAGAAAAAAAACAAAGTAAAAAAAAAAAGCAAAACGTGAAAGGGATAAAACAGTGTGTTTTACATTAACCCTAATTTCACCACTTTTTCCTCTTCTCTGAAACCTTCAAACGGCGATAATGGAGATTTAGGGTAAGTCTTGCTTCTTACTCTTTTATCATCAATATTCTGCCCTCTAATCTTGTTTTCTCCCTTATTCTCTTTGTTCTCAGACACAAATCGAATAGATTTGTTCTTCCTCTACGGATTTCGTTGGACCATCTTCTTCTTTGTGTACCAGTTTTTTCGTAGGGAAACGAAACACTCTGTCTCAAGGTTCTCATCAAAATCTCACTAGGTTTGCGATTACTTATTTTGCTTCTGTTAATCCTAGATTTTTTAGACCCGATTTGGTTTATATGTTAAGCTAAAATTACTTGTATGGGTTGATTAAGCTTCTTATCGACTAAGATTTACTCACGCATGTTCATATTTTTGACCCAATTTGGTTTATTTGTTAGACCCGATTTGGTCTATTTGTTAAACTAAAATCCTTATATGGGTTGATTAAGCTTTTTTTATCAACTACGATTTATTCATGCATGTTAATAATTTTGATTTGTCTTTGTAGTGTATCTATTTAGGTTTTCTTAAAAATGAGAAAATTTGAAAAAGAGCTTCTATTCATGTTAAACATATAGAAATTTTCTGTGAAGGTAGTCTTGAAAGCTTAGTTTTTGTCGTTGTCTGAATATAATGTTTTTCTGTGAAATCTTAGTAATATGTGGAACATGTGTTTTAAATTACGCAGATTGTAAAAGTAAGCAAAGCGGCTTATCTTTGATTATAGGTATGTGTGGGGAGTTACCAAAGCGACTTTTTAAGGAGGGTGAGGAAACCCAAGTGACACAGATCAATAACAACTGCAGGATGGTATGGAATATGGATTGGTTGAAGGGATGGCTGCCAAAAAAGTTGAAAGAAGTAAAGAAAGATCCGATTTTTTCTGAGATTTTTAAGCTGTACGAGAATGGTTTGGGTTACTCCGCGAGAGTGATACACAGCTTCTTATGTAGGGAGCTGGTGACTTCCAAAAAGCATGAGCTATGGTTTACCTTTGCGCGGAGACAACTCCGATTTTCATTGTTAGAATTCCACGCAGTAACCGGGCTTCAGTGCATTACTAACCTCTCACGTAAGGAGTTGGTTGAATGGGAAGATGATGGTGGTTTCTGGAGCACAGTGGTGAGGAAAAACAGGGAGTTTGTATTTTGGATATGTGGAAAAGTCACCAGCAAGATGTTAAGAAGTGGAGTAATGCTGATCGAATAAGACTGGTGTATATGTGCATCATTGTTACTATGGTTTGCGGTCGAGATGAGAAGGCTAATATTCCATCAAGTATGTCAAGCTGGTCATGGATCTTGAGAACTTTCGAAACTATTCTTGGGGAGTTGCTGCTTTTAACCTTCTATGTGAGTCAATAGATAAAACTCATGACAAACTGAAGGAGAAGACTACCAGTTACGTGTTAGATGGCTTCTCCTACGCCATTCAGATTTGGGCAATGGAAGCAATACCAAAGATTAGAAAGCTCTGTGGAAGAAAACTGAACAAAAATTTTATGAACGGTCCTAGATGTGTAAACTGGAGAGGAGCTGCAAAGATTTCATACGGGATATCATCCAGTTGGAGAAAATCTTTACACATGAGGTAAATATTTCTATTTAAGATTGCTGCATCCGATTTGATATGAGTTTTTGGTATGTAACATTGTTTAGCTTTCTTGTGTAAGATGTCATCTATCCATACATCTCAAGGGGAGGCAATTGTGTAATAATTAAAACTGCTGAATTTCAAAGGGCTGATGAGGTGGAGGATGATAAAATCAAGGTTCTCATGAGGATGATAAACGCTAAGCACGACTCAGTGACCATATTTGAGAGTTCGAAGAGACACCATAGTTTTCTTTTGGGGTTCATGACAAACCAAGAGAGGCTGATGAAGTATCTGAGAATGATGAAGCACTAAGAATGATGAAGATGCTCCCAAGAAGGATGAAGAAGATGTGAGTGCTGAAGAGTTTCAAACTCCAAGAGGAACAATGAACACAAGCTCCGGAGGTAGAAAGGGAAAGAAGAGGTTTCCAGATCGTTGAATGGAAAAAAAAAAGAAACAAAAGATTCTTTGTACTAGCGCCAAACATGCGCCGTTTAATGAGGATATGAAGAGCTTTGTTGCCCAATTGTTTCAGAAGAATTTTTCGGCAATGGAAAAGAGGCTACAGAAACAGATGGGTGAAAGATTTGAAAAATTGCAGTCTGAGCTTAAAGGTTCCATTAAGGATGCAACCGTGGATGCAACCGTTGAAGTTGAGGACGTAGAGCCCTCGACGACCAAGCCTTCTCCTACCAAGCCATCTTCTACAAAGCCATCTCTTAGTAAGCCATCTCCTAGAAAACCCTCAACTAGCAAGACAACGTCTACCAAGCCATCGCCTAGCAAGACAACTAGCAATACAACATCTATGAAGCCATCGTCGAGGAGGTCTAGTCGCTTGGTGATACACCATGATTTTGACCCGTTTTTAGTCATGGTATATTGGTGTTTTTACTACTATTTACTATTCTATAGAAGCTTTTAAGCATATTTATGAGTTCATGAGTATTTTGGAAGAAAGTGATGTTTTTGGAGCATTTTGGAGAGAATTGGAAGAAGCGTTCGATTCAGCATCGATCACGAGGTTGAGACAGAGAGACTCGGATCGATCGACATGCATCCTGCATAATCGATCGATTATCAAGACCCAGAAGCCAATTCGAGAGACTAGTTGACTTGAAGCTCAATCATCATCAAATGATGATTTTACCCCTGACGAGTTTTAACCTAAGTTTATATACTCTGCCAAAGTGTTAGAGATAAGAGAGAGAGAGAGAGAGAGATATAGAGAGAGAGAGAGAGAGAGAGAGAGTTTTTGTAATCTTTTCACAGCAAAGTTTAAGGTTTTATAGTTTGGAGAGAAGATCATCAGAGAGATTTGAGACTGGAACTCCAGTGTTTTCTACCTATCTATTTATTTATGATATGCACTTTATTTATCTATTTGTGTTATGAATTGCTTAGCTATGTCTGAGTAGTTTACTTGTTAGATTTAGGGTTTAAATAGGTTAAAGGGATTAGCCCCAACTATAGGATTGCTAGTTGTGATACTTATTAATAGGATATTCTTATTGCTAATGGTTCCAGAGTAGCTAATTAGAAACACTGAATCCTGAATTATTTAGATTGGATTAAAGATATTTAAACAATTTTGATAGTCCTGAACACATTCCCTATTAAGCTAAGATTCTTAGAAATAAAGCGGTAGTTTGATTTAGAAGTCTCTAGTGAGTCTATGTTAACTCGTGTGTATTGATTGACCGGACTCATCGATCAGTCTTCCGATCAATCGATGATGAGTTTAGTGTATTGATCGATTCCAAATCCATCCCAGAAGGAAATCAGCTGTTAGGAGAGATGACAAACCATTTTATGATACAATTCTATGGAAGAACAACAGCATTGAGAGTCTGCAAGAAAGACTTCAGAACATTACAGACACAGTCACCAAGATGGATGCAAGATGGGCCAGAAGCGATGAAGCCACAAGAAGTTTCATGGCTACTTGGTTCAGCATCAACAGAGAAGTTGTGGATACTTATTTTCCAACAAGTAGCTCATTTTCCACACTATAGCTCATCCAGTGCAACAGTGAAGCTAAATGACTAACAAAGCACTGAGTGGGAGGCAACCCACTGTTAGGTAATTTTTGTTTTGGTTTTCTTTTCATTTACTCATTCTTTTTCGTTTTACAATTTTTGCAGGTTTTTCAAAAAAAAAAAGATCCAAGGAGAAACGAATGACCATCTCCTCGATATCGATCGACAGACACTCACGTGCGACGATCGATGTTCTTCTACTCACATCGATCGATTATTAAGTTCGGTCAGGTTCATTCTTCTTCCTTGTTACATTAAGTACTTATAATTTCTTTTCTTTTGCCCTAAGTCTGATTTTCTTTACACTGGGACAATGTAATTTAAGTCTGGGGGGGGGAAGTTTACTGATGTTTTACTTGCTTTGAGCCTTATAAAGTTTTGTTTTCAAAGCTATTTTTTATTAAGCTCAAGAAAAGAGATAATGATCGTATTTGATTTATACTTGTTATCTAACCGTTTTTTTTACACCATTTTAGACTTTATGATTACAGATAATACTAAAGATGCTAAATTGGATCAACCAATCAGATATCCACACTTTCTTAGATATTTTGAAGGAACCAAAACTACCTCCAACGCTAAACCTGACACAACTGCTCGTCTTGGGGCTTGGCATACATGGGATCGGATTCTTCAAACAAGTCTGGAAGGTAAAGCCTTGTGTATATTTATCACCTTTTCTCTCTCTCTCTCTCTATTTTCGACCCTAGATAGTCTAGTAGATTAGTTTTAGTTTATATATAAAAAAATCCGAAAATAGTACTAAGATTATTAGGTTTTTAGTTAGGAAGAATCAGAACATGACTTGGTGGCAAAAACCATTAAGGCTTGCTTCAACTATGATTCAAAAAAGAATTCAAACGGGATTTGGTGGTTACAACAAGGTTCACTTCATATGAATTCCTGGATATAGGTAAAAAAGAAGTGATCATGAATTGGTGGCTACAACCATTAAGACTTGTTTCATGGAAGCCTGTCTAATATTGATCAATAATCTTGCCTTAAAAGAAGATTTGGACTCAAGAGAAAACTTAGAAGAGATAAAATATAGGAACTAACTTTTACCTGCAGATCCAGATACTTGTTTGAGTTTCCTTGCATCCTTTGATCGATACTAAAGCCTGCACTTTTATTTTATGTAAAGAAATGAGGTTAGTTGAGGGGAATGTCAGATAGTATTTGCTAAGTTGTTGGTTAGATGAATCTGGTTGCTAAGCTAGGATATTGCATAATGAACTTCTGTGATTTATGTTTTAGATGTGGATTGCAATATTATAGAGGTCATGATTTCAAAAGTTTTTAAATCTATGTGTCCCTATTCTTTTCAAACCTCTTTCAGAGAGACTACCAGTTTGTTTTGCTTGAGGACAAGCAAAAAGGTAAGTTTGGGGGAGTTGATATACCATGATTTTGACCCATTTTTAGTCATGTTATATTGGTGTTTTTACTACTATTTACTACACTATAGAAGATTTTAAGCATATTTATGAGTTCATGAGTATTTTGGAAGAAAGTGATGTTTTTTGGAGCATTTTGGAGAGAACCGGACTCATCGATCGATCTTCCAAACAGAAATCGATCAATGATGAGTTTAGTGTATCGATCGATGTTCCTATCGAATAATCGATCGACACTGTCAATTGCGACCTTCCAGTCATTAGGCTTATTTATTTGAACAATAATTTAAATAATTTGTTAATCAAGATAGTTAATGCTCTATAGTATCTCGTAAGAAACTGAATAGCTCCTATATGATTAAAATCCCAATACCTGAATAAAAATCCTAAGTTTAACATCTTTTCCGTTTTAGTTTCAAGATTTTGTTTTCATTTTTGATTAAGTAATTGTCTTGCTTGATTGGAATACTTCATGTTCACTTATTTACTGTTTTTGCTATTTATATATTCACCTAGATTGTTACTTGACTAGATTTATTAGGTTCCCTAGCTCCTTGTGGATTTGTTCCCTAAGTACTACAACTTAACCTCTTATTTGAGAGAGTAATTCAATCATTAGGGTAATTTGAGTGATATTACTTGGTAAGCATGGGAAAAAACCACTAATCTTCACCACTCTCTCAGAAATGTTATTGTGGCTTGTTTGTTAGATGATTTGTGTGTCTGTGTATAATATATTTATGCAATGCTTATGTAATTCGGTGTGTGAACTTGTTTTGGTATGTAAGATAATGGAACTATGTGTAAGATAATGCCTAGATAAACTATGCTTATGATTGTGTTAATGAATTTTGTGTACTTGTTATTATACCAGCATTTAATAAATTCTCTTCAATTAACAGGATGAAAATTTGAGTGAAAAAGAATATATGGACATAGGGATAGATACCCAAAGCCTAAAATACCATCTTAGGCCTCAGCCGTGCCAGGTTTTTATCCATCGCAGACCACTAAGGACAACGAACCATGTGATTGGTGGACTCCGATGAGTACAGTCTGGAAAATAAAGGTTGTATCAATGCAAGATAATAAAGATCCACTGCCGACAAAGTGGAATAAATGGCAAAGGAAACTTGAGCTTAGTGACTCATCCATGTCATTTGATGGTTCTCCACATCCTCACTATATTGGTTCAACGAAGAATCATGGGATAGATTCATTGAATGGTCTATGAATTCAACAAGTTTAAGGATTGGTCCTACATCATTTAATATGACCGTAGCTGCAAGAGTAATAGGTCCTGAAAAATGGCTTGGAAACGAGGTATTGCTTTCTTAATTATATAAGGTTGAATATGGGAATTTCTTTGAAAATTGCATTGATTTATTTTCCTCGTGAATATTCAGGAAATTGATGCGTTCATGTATATATGGCGAGTGAAGACTTCTTTGAGGCATTGGACACTAGACTATGTTGCTTTCATTCCCACCTATTTTTACCTTCAAATTGAGAAAGCATACCTTAGCTTTACAGGTAGCAAAATAGGCTATGTATTAGGCGATATTATTCTTGCTTACTGGAGAGGAGAACTTCCATCTCATGGGCGGACTAATAAAGTTTGGGGTGTCAAAATTGATAGTCACTACTTTCCTCTGTTTGTAAATGGTAATATTCATTGGTCATTTTTTACAGGTCTTCATTTAGATCCCTGTATTAAAAGATTTAGCAATATTCAATGCAGGTAATCACTGGATAGCTGTCTGTGTCAATTTTATTGAGAAGACAGTTGAAGTATTCAACTGCTTGCAGGAAAGGAATAGGCAATACGTGGAGAAGTTTTATGTTATGATTCCTAAGATAGTAAAGGCTGTTGCACCACCTGAAAACAAGAAGTATCTACTCCTGAAAAAGTATTCTATCATAGAGGTGCCTCTGAAGGCTAGATTGAACAACACTTTATGTGATTGCGGGGAATATGCACTCCAACATTTGGAATGCCAACTCCTTGGTCTTGACGTCAGTTTAGTGGATGACAAAATCATCCAGGGTTATCGTCAAAAGATTGCTTTAGATTTATGGGAGGCTGCACAAAATCTTATTTTAATTGAGTTGATGACACAATATGCGCCTTCTAATTTTGAGTCATCTATTGTATTTGACCTCGTAGAAGACTGATTATGTGTGTTTGGTTTTAATTTTTAGTTTGTTTTTTTCATCTGATGACACAACTCTAGTTTGGTTTATGTGACAAAACAAGTTTGGTTTTTTATGAATTTATGTGAAAAAACACTAGCTTGCTTTTTTAATAATGTATGAAAAATTTGCTATAATCAGCCCGAAATCCTAAAAACCCTAAACTAACCCTACTTAAAACCTAAACTAATCCTAAACAAACCCTAAACTAACCCTAAGTAAATCCTAAACGAACCCTAATTAAACCCCACATAAGAACTTTAGAATGTAACACCTTATCACCCTGAAAATGACATAAATGTAGTCGATAATGCCATTGGGAGGTTTGTCAGTCACTAATTAAATACATTTGTCTTCTTATTTTGCTTCATGTATTTACACAAATTTATAGGGTTCAAAGAGAAAATACAAACGTTTAGGAGTAGGTTGTATTCAATACTTTTGTAAATTTTTGTGAACTGCCATAGGTAGAGTACACATTATTTAGATATGGTTACGATGCCGTTTTGTCAAATTGTTTGACCTAACCCTTTTTTCTTCATTCTTGCACGACAGAGAAAAACCTAGGGGACGAAAACTTGGAGATCGAGTCAATCATGTCTTCGATCAATTTTCTCGCCGAATCAAGATATCGAGTACCCAAACAACAAGAAATTCCCATTAAATGCAGATGCGGTGAAGGGGCTGTTCTTTTCACTTCAAAAACATGGGAAAATCCAGGTCGATTATTTCACTTTTGTCCGAAGGGATCAGAGAAGGTTAGTCCTTTAATCATATAATGCTGAATTCGGTATAGTCTAATTGTATGTTTGAATTTCATGGTGAATGACAAAACACACTTGTTCAAATGGACTTATAAGTCAGTTGTTGAAAAAATTGAAGACTTGACGTGGTGCTCATTGACAATATACAGTTTCAGAATTCAATGAGAGCTTCTGAGATCCTCCTGAAACGCCATGAGAGTAGAATTGGAGATATGGAAGATGAAATTGCGCGTTATCAAGCGAAGACCATCGAATGCAGTAACGAAGTAAGGATCATAAAAGCTTTGTTTGTGTGTTGTTTGGTGATGGCATTCATGTACCTCACCTATCCATGATTGTCTGTTGATGATCACATTTGTTGTTATGTTTTTCTTTTAAGTAAGTGTAACGCTATGTTTGTTAGTGATTATCATCGACTTGAACCAAAATGTTGCAAACACCAAATCGTTTTGTCAAATACCAAATTGTCAAATAGGTTGTTGAACATAAAATTCCAAGTGTAATAAGCAAAAAGGAGATAACAACGACCACACAACATTAACTAAATAAGAATATCACATGTTCCTCTCTTGTGTCTTGCGATACCACATCGGCTGCACTTATGCTTTTTATTCTTCTTTGATCCTTGAGAAGATTTTATCTTGTCTTCTACTGATTCATACCTTTTCTTTACTGGTCTACCATCACTCTTTGTTGTCTCTGGTGGTAATACCTTTGCTAGTTTACCTCAGCTGGGACATTCCATTCATGCTCTGGAACTGCTATTGGATTAATGCATTCCGCATAGACGGTTCACTATGTTGCAGTGGTGTATACGCCATCAGTAAATCTGTGTACTTCCATACATGTGTCAAAAAAACATAAATCGAGTAATGTCTATGTGCTGTAAAGCACTGACCATGTAATAGGTCCCAAGATCATCTATTTGCACTTAAATACCTTGAGAATAAATTGCTGGAAGGGTGTGTCGGCAAGGTATTTTTCCTATATCGTACTTCCCACATGTGCATGTTCTCCTTTCCAAATCAACATGACAATCATATGTGTCTCCTTTCACAAGCGATCTGAAATTGTCAACCTTGTAAACCTGAAATTATTTTGGCTTCACAATTCTCCAATCAAGCTTTTTGTTAACCTTAACGGTTAAAGGATCCAGCTGCTTTGAACTTACCACTCGACGCTCATAGAACCACCGGGTCATCATTTCTCTTATACTATCTATCAAAGGAATAACTGGAAATTCTCGAGGTGATCTCATAACAAAATTTATGTTTTTTGTATCACGTCCCAAAACCCATAAAATAATCATACATCATTCAGATTCAAATTATATTGGTTCGGCTCGGTTTAGATATATCTAAAATTTTGAAGAGAAACAAATACTTATTGATTGGATTTTCAATGTACTTATTTAAAATTTAATACTTATGATTAGATATTATTAAAAATAAATATTAAATTGAATATTTGAAATAAATATTTATGTTTTGAAATTTTTGTATATATGATTAGTTTGGATATTTATATCAATTTTTCAATTTTTTAATATTTCGGTTTTTCATATTATCCATTCGGATTCGGATAATAACACTTATGTTTACGGATTTTATTGTCTGATTTATTTAAATAAAAATAAAATATAATTATATTTCACCAAAAAGTTATCCCGCACTTTTTAAGCGCGGATCAAAATCTAGTTTAATCTATTAAACAAGTATCTAATATTTACAATCAATGCCACTGAAATAATAAATCAATGCCGAATAATAAACCTTTAATTTATTCTAATATCTACAATCAATGCCATTGAAATAATAAATATTAATTTAAACAGTCATTTACTATTATCAAACAATAATTACATTAATTTCTTTTTAGATCTATCTTTTCGCCAACTCCACCTTTCTTTCAAAAATCATCTCTCTTTCTTCCTTTATATTTCAGTTTTCTATTTCTTTTATTTTTCTTTTCTGAAAGTCAGATTTGTATGTTACTGTAGGCTATGTGGGTTTTTTCTGTTTACGTATTTGGTCAAAATTTTGATTTTGTGTTTAAAGCCATGTACTTTATCGATTATTGATCTGGATGATTCATGTATTGATTAGTTAGTTCAAGGCTCATGTTGTGTTGAATCATGTATTAACTGTGGTTGTCTATGCAAGTCTATAGGAAACAATAAAATCGATGAGGTAATATGTATAAAATCATAAGGTTCAGTATTCTAAAACTACTTTCTGCTGCAGTAATTAAATATGCAGAACCACAACAAATGACCATTTAGTAACAAAACTTGCTTTCTGAGATTTATTTGATAACAAAGCGAACCCTAAGAGCAAGTGCATTAGGAGTTTATAGCACAGGTTCACACGATTCTCGGTAAAAATATAATATTAAAATAATCAATTTTGTTGAACTCACCTTAAAACACCTCTTCCGGATGAACCGGTTCATGACATTTTTGCGGGCCCCACGCCACGTGGCGGCTCGCTATTGGTCCGTTTTTGTTTTTTTTTGTTTTTTTTTTTAAAGAAAGTCAAACGAAAAATTAATTATAAAAAAATAAAATCAGTGAACCCCAAAGCGGGTCACTGATGTACTTGCTCTAAGGATCACTCAAAAACTAAATATTATTGCAGCTTTTTGAATAAAACCATGGCTTTTCTGATGATGCAGAGTTATGAGATGATTAACTAACTGAAAGATTTGATTTATCCCCAGAAGTGATTTAGTCAAACACACAAGAGATCTGTCACATATTAGAGGATAACTATCACTTGTATAGCTCACGGCTTACATAGATGCAGATTGGGTTGGAAGTCCTTCAACACAGGTCAAATTCAGGCTTTTGTCTCTACCTAGGCAACAATCTTATCTCGTGGTCAGCTAAACGACAGTCTACTGTTTCACGATCAAGCGCTGAAGCAGAATACAAAGGTGTAGCCAATGTCGTAGCAGAATCATGTTGGGGCGCAGAAACTTACTACTTGAAATGGGTAGACCTCTTCAGCAAGCAACTGTGGTTTACTGTGACAACCTAAGTGCCGTCTACCTCTCAAGCAATCCTGTTCAAAATCTATAGAGATAGACATCCACTTCGTACGCGAAAAGGTGCTCATGGGAAAATTCGAGTTCATCACATTCCATAAAGCCTACAATATGCAAGTATCTTCACAAAGAACTTACCTTCTTCGTTGTTCACTAGCTTTCGGTCCAGTCTTGGTGTGATAGAGCCCACGCTACGACTGCGGGAGGGTATTAGAGGATAACTATCACTTGTATAGCATATATATTATTCCTCGTATATTCTCTTTAGATATGAACTGATCCTTAAAACCACTCAACTACTTGTACTCTATATATTCATATCTATACACGTAACTATTCAAGGGAAACTGAATATCTTAAACCACAATCTACTTTGAGCAAGATTTTGGCAAAAGAGTAATCTTAGAAAAAGGCATCAATTTTTTATTTTTTGGTAAAAAAATGCATCAATTTTTTTTGCAAGAGAAGAAGAAGATGGAGGATATGTTGATGCACCAACTTGCAGCTGCAAAAGATTCACCCAAAGCTTTGTGGAACCCATGGATATAAGCGAAGTATCATATACAATTTATGGAATGCAGCAATCGTCTATACTATTAAAAGTGAAGGCACCCTTGAAAAATCGACTGATGGAAGTTGTGTGCACCCTTCATTAATGGCATTTTGTTAATTTATTTCCGTCTTACATTTATATATATATATATATCGAATATTACAAATCATATCACATTAACCATTAACCATATACCCGATATATTCTATCTCTTCCCATTAATTACTCTAACCATATTTCATTTTATGTTTCATACTTTTATTTTACCTGGGTTTTTTTTTTTTTTTGACAACGAACGGATGATCTATTACTCAAGCTTGAGCTGGTCTGAGAATCCAGACCGGAATAGAACAACCTATAAACACCAATTCTCGATAAAAGGATCGAGCGGTCCTAGCTAATGAATCGGAAACACCATTCTTAGTCCTAGGCACATACACAATTTTAAACTCGGGAAAGCAAATCTGTAGGGTAGCGAGCTTTTCCAGTTCCGTTGAGAAGCTTGGCCAGTCCTGTGGTTTCCTTAGCATTGATATCACCTCGTTACAGTCCGTCCCAAAGCTCTGGCATGGCGAATGTTGAAGCATGTTCTCCATTGCCCACCGCAGTGCTTCCAGCTCAGAATGCAAAGCAGACTCCACTCTATCAAAATTACGCAATCCCATCAGCTGACCTTCCCCCATGCTATCCTGCCATACCCATCCGCATCCGCTATATTGAGCTGTGGAGGTCCAGGAACCATCCACCAGACAGATATTCCCCAGACTTATGGTCTGGTTATCACTATTCGTGTCGATTTGAGAGGGTAAGGACCGCTGTTCATTAGCTTGATACCAGGCAAGGCATTCACTCTCCGCATATCGTGCTGTCTCCAATGGGTCTCTATCAATTCCTTTGAACAATTTGTCATTCCGAGCCTTCCAAATATACCAAATTAGCTTTGGATAAGGATCCATGTCTACTGCCGGTCCACCTATGGTATCCTTCCTCCAAAAGAGATAGTCCATGTTCGCATATGTGCTCTGCAATGGAAATAAAGACGGGCTAGTGATTTTACCCGGGTTATACCAATATGAATTGTAACATTTGATATCATATGATTTGTAACATTCGATATAGCAGCCATTGTCCTTTTGGTATATGTGATATGACTTGTATGATATGATATTATTTTCCACATTTGATATCATATGATTTATAACATTTGGTTACTACACTATAGATTACATAATTCAAATATATATCAAACCCATTTTAGTAGTATAGATTTGTAACATTTGGTTACTACACTATGATTTGTTACATTCTATATAAAACATAGTCCTTTTCGTATATGCATAAATATACTAATATGATTTTTAAGATATGATATGATTTCTAACATTTGTATGATTTGTTACATTCTATATAAAACATTGTCCTTTTCGTATATGCATAAATATACTAATATGATTTGTATGATATGATATGATATCTAACATTTGATTTCTATAGTAACTCTAAGCTAATTTATGCTTCACATCTTTCGGTATATGTGATATGATTTGTATGATATGGTAACCATTTGTGTAAATAATGGTTATTACACTATATATACCCGCAATCAAATATATATCAAACTCATTTATGAGTGACAATTGATAACGAGTTGCATTTTCGTAAGAAAATATTGCATATACTAAAATGAATAAATTCCTTCATCTACAAGTTTTTATATTATGGAAACAGTAATAATGTTTGAATTATTTATTTTTGGTGGATTCCATATATTTCTGTAATTGGATTAGTATTAATTGTTACACTTCCTATCTAATTCAAAATATATTCCATAAATATTCCTTATTCCTTAAATGAGATATTTTATCAGATCATAAAAAATATTCTTCCCTACATTTTCGTAACCTAAAGGTTATTGTCCCTAACTATTATAAATATAGCCTCTCTTAACCACTATATTCATCATTCATTCAAAAACCTAAAATCTTCTCTATGGCGAATAATTTGCAGTTGTCTTTCTTGAGCGATATCAAGCCGAGGAAAAATGCATGTCGCATCCAAGTCAAGATCCTTCATACATGGAGACATTTCATGAAAGACGTAAATATATTTAAAATGAGTAGGGAAGATATTATAAATGTTATCTTTCATATGCTTTCTCTCTAAGAATCGCATGTTCTATACATTATCTCATGTTCTATAGTGTCATTTTAATAAGATCCGCGCTTAAGTTTGTTAAGATTTCTGTCATGACAAATTGTTATCTTTCATATGCTTTCTCTCTTAATATCTTCACTGAGAGTTAAATGTTTTGATGGTGTTATACATCATTTTATTTTGTCTAACAGAATTTCCATTTATATGAACATGCAGATCACGATTTAAGTATGCATTCGCACCAGTTTCATGGATCAATGTTGCAAGAGGCTTACACGTCTGGAATGAATAATAGGACTAATCATTACTGAAGGATTCTTAACATGTACATGAGGTTCCATGAAGCCGTTGTTGCGAAGTATAATGCTGAGGTGGAGGTGTATCGCATTGCCGGTAAAATTGAACTCTTTGAAGAGCTCTTCAACGATGTCGTTATGAACCATGTTAAGGACAAGCTGGAAAAGGAACTTGCTCTTGCTCATGCCCGTCTTGCTGATGTGAAGGTTCCCAATCTCGATTGGGAAAAGCTAGGAGAGCCACAAATGTGGCGTTAAGTGATCTTTATCCTCATCTCTTATGTTTGAAGGTGTTATGGCTATGAACTTTTTAACTGTTGTCTGGTTTAGAAAACCTGTGTTTTTTAATATTTTGATCTATTAAACTGAACCTAATGTTTTTTATCTTACAAGGCTATCTGTCTCAATGTCTTTTGGATAAATGTTTTTCGGATTCTCGGTTCAATCACAAACTGACCCGGTTATGCATCTATACTATTAAAAGACTCAACTAAAAGGTTAAATATATATCACATTCAAACATAAAACTCTCATATAATACAAATCTAATCATTTCATAAATTTTCTTACAACCAAAACAAAACCCGCGCTTCTCAAGCGCGGGTCAAAATTTAGTAGTTACATTAAACAAATAACGCCCAGAGAAACATAAGAAAGAGAGCCTTAAATATATTGTACTAGGTGGACGGCCCGCACGCCTGTGCGGACATTAATATAATATATACATTGTATGAATAAAAAGATAATATAAATGTATAAATATATTGTAATTTTCTTTCTCTTTTACATAGATACTCTGTTTTTTAATATATTTTTCTATTTTACTCCTTTCGTTTTGTTTCTTATTTATCTCTCTTTGCATTATTTTTGTATGTCTTTGTACACCTCTCTCGCTCTCTTAGTTGATCAAATAATCTCAAAATCTCTCAAACTTACATTCACTCTCTCACAATCACCTATATTCATTCTCTTACCCTCGTTCTTAATATGATCCTCAATATTTCATTTTAAAACTCTTTCTATCTCTTTTTGGTTGCAAACTTTTCACCAGATTTTGTTAAATCTTCTAAACACTTTAACATAGTATTAATAAATGATTTCAGAATTTATCTCACTTATATTCAGTCTCTCACTTATATTATTTTTCATCTTCGTTATGATCATAACCGACTCTCTAATCCTTATCATCACCATATCTCCCTCTCTTTCTCCCTTTCTTACATATTTTTTTATTTAGAATTTAATATAAAATTACAATTGACTAACCAAATAAACTCATTATCAAATTCTCTCCAATGTTCACACTATCTTATCAAACATTGATTCCTTTGACCAAGATTTTCATTAAAAAAAAAATATTTTATTAATAATTTTGTTTTTTTAATTACTTCATAGTCTTCATTACATACATATTTTAAGTAAATCTAAATAACTGTATTTCAAAGTAAATTTGATTAGATAATTATATAACATAAAATATCTTAATTCTTAAATGATGCGATGTCATTATTTTAGACATAGATTAATATAAACATGAGATTCAACAGTTTTAATATATCAAAATAACATGTTTCTAGTTGTATAAATTTTGTTATAACTTTGTTATCATATATTTTTAAAGTTTATTACACCACAAAAAATACTTATCATTATTTTAAAATAATTTATTTTAAAATTAATTTGCGTTATATTTTGCATCTTCAACATTAACAATTTTATAACTTCTCATTTATATTTATCCTCCTTGCTCAATTTTTACTTATGTTGTATAAACACCTAAATATAATTAGTTTACAATTATATTAATACGTAAAAAAATATTTTGGTATACAAATAAAAAATTATGTATGTACAAATACAAAATAACGAAGAATACAAGAAAATGTTTTATTATTATTCACTCATGTTTTTATTTATGTCTCTTTTCTTTTTTTTTCTTATTAAAAATAAACATGAAAATTTTATTATACTTAAAGCTATATGAATTATATGAATATAATATTAACTCTAATCTTGTATTAATATAATGTTTTGATTTTTTGTAATTTTATATTATAATAAACTTTTGATTTATTCATATTTTTTAAAATGACATACTAGATAATTTTCTGTTTTAAATATAAAAATACTTAAATAATTTTTGTAAGTGATAACTCAACTATACTATTGACATTTATCTCTGGAAAATGATAGATTTTTTGAAAAAAAATTACATTTGACTGTTTTGCATTCATTGAACATATTTTAAGAATACATATATATATAGTGAGTGAGTATAAAAATATTATTAGTTTTCTGTAATGTATGATTTTTTATCCACTACTAATAGAAAAAAATTAAAATCGTTTATATACTTATTTCTATAATATAATATGTATTTATATGTATATTCTAAATTTTTATAATGGAATATGTGATAATTAATTGTTTCTATAAACAAATTCTATTAATCCTATGTATTTAAGATGTTTAATTGTTTGTTTGGTAATATATATTAGATTAGGTAATTCTAGGTTTAGTTTCCTTTTAAAAAACTTTAATTAAATAAATAAAAATTCAAATGCCAACAACCAATCAAATTAAGAGAATTAATTCTACATTGCACCTATGAATGACACGTAAGCAAAATTCATTAAAGTGACTTCTCTTTTAATATATAGGGGGATTAGAAGTTTACAAAATATGTATTCCCATCAAATAGCAATGAAGGTTAAACAATATTTAGCCAAAAAAATAGTTTAGAGCATTGGGCCATCTAATCAAATTTAGAGAAGGGTTAAATCTACCCAAATATATATTTTAAAACATGCTCATTAATATTAATTGTGTTTTGGCTTTTTATAAGGGAAATTGCCAGAAACAACATTTTCACGATATCACTTTTCAACTTTACACTAACCAACTTTATAATTAAATTTTTAATAGGCAAAATATTACTATACCCTTAACTAATTAAACTTAACAATTTTAATAAGGTTTTGATGGATTAGGGTTTAAAGTTTAGAATTTAGGATTTAAGGTTAAGAATTTAGGATTTAAGGTTAAGAATTTAGGATTTAGCGTTAAGAATTTAGGGTTAAGGGTATAGTATTTAGGGTTTAGGGTTTATAATTTAGGGTTTAGGGTATAGAATTTAAGATTTAGGGTTTCGAAGATAGGGTTTAGGGTTTAGAATTTAGGGTCTAGGGTTTCAAATTTAGATTTTAGGATATAGAATTTAGAGTTTAGGGTTTAGAGTTTAGGGTTTAGAACTGATATTTTAGGGTTTAGTGTTGATTTATTAGGGTTCAGGGTTTAGGGTTTAGGGTTTAGAATTGATGTTTTAGGGTTTAGAGCTGATTTTTAGGGTTTAGGGTTTACTTTTTAGGGTTTAGGGTTTAGAATTGATGTTTTAGGGTTTAGAGTTTAGTATTAATGAATACTAGAGTTTAGTATTGATGTTTTTGTGTTTTTTATTTATTTAAATATTTATTTCATATAATGTATAAAGAAGAAGGGTAGAAGAGTATTTTTTCCTTTAATGAAAAGTGTATTTTTAAAAATGTTCCTTTGTTGATGGTAAAAATGAAAAGTGGTACCACCAAAGTGGTATAAGTGAAATTCTCCCCTTTTATAATCTAATTTATATAATAATAAAGATTAATTTTATTGAACATATTTAAATTAAGTTTGGATTCATAAATAGAAATGTTAAATAATAATAATAATAATATAAATAGAGTTTATAAAAATAATTAAAGTTTAATAATATAATATACAATTTGCAAATTTACAGTATAATTAAATAAATTGAAAATATAATGTATGCTAACCAAAAATTTAGAAATATTTATTCCATATTTTGAGAGAATTTTTCTATTTTTTATTTTAATATTTAAAATTATGAATTTCTTATACCAAATTATTGTAAAATATATTGGTATATTAATAATTGATGATAAAGTAAATTACATATAAAAATATAAACTATTAAATGTTAATAATATTGAATCGCGATAGGGAAATTGCCAGAAATAACACTTTCAAGATAGCACTTTTCAACTTTACACTAACCAACTTTACCATTAAAATTTTAATACTCAAAATACTATTAGAATTTAGTTTTGATTTTGTAGGTTTTAGGGTTTACTTTTTAGGGTTTAGAGTTTAGGGTTTAAGGTTTAGAATTGATATTTTAGGGTTTAGGGTTGATTTTTAGGGTTTAGGGTTTACTTTTTAGGGTCTAGAGCTTAGAATTGATGTTTTAGGGTTTAGGATTAATATTTTATTTAATATTTATTTTATGTATATATATAAAGAACAAGGATATAAGAGTCTTTTATCCTTTAATAAAATATGTATTTTTGAAAATGTTTCTTTGTTGATGGTAAACATGAAAAGTAGTACCACTAATGTGGTATAATTGAAATTCTCCCATAACGATATGAACAACAGTGTTATGAAACTTTATATATAACATCAGACTATAAATAACATATTAAAATATTTATTATGTAAGTAAAATTAGACACATAAGATAAAAAAAAAATTTGTGGATAACAGTCAAATATATCAAATGCTAAATGAACTATATAGTATATCATTTTAGTTGTCTAAATAGCCTATTGTGATATCAATAACCAATACTATTTAGGTTATTTAGAAAATAATAACAATTTTAAAATTAATAGATACGGAAATTAAAATACATTTGTGCTAGCGCGCAGATAAGAGTCCAGTTATAATTATTGATAATTAATTTAGTTACTACTTTTTCGACCACTAGCCTATTGATTTCATATTTTATTTACGTCCTTTTTATTATTTATGTTTAAAGAGAAAATAATAAATTATTAATTAATATAACAATTTGTAGAAAGAGTGATAGATAATAATAACTTCTCAGAATATGTCAAATGCAGTTTAATGAACTCCAATAGTTTCTTTACTTTTATCTTTTCTAAATGAAGTTATGTTAGCAAAAAAACTTTTCTCCAATCCATTTCCTTGATTTTCCTCAACAATAATAAATATATTTCTTTATAAACCTCTTATTTACTTCTAGTAACACCCTCTATTTGAACAGAATTGAAACTATTTATACACACTAGTTTTAAATTTCAAGGTTTAGTAAACTTATAACTTTATTAAAATCAAATAATATTATTTTAATAAAATTACATAAATAATGATAAATATTATTAATTTTTTTGGATCTGAAAAATTCTATACCTGAATATCAGCTCATTTTAATCAATGCTAACTTAATTTGATTTAAG